CGTGGGGCATGCAGTGCGGCTGCCTGCCTGGGCTTCTCACTGGGTGGCGAGTTGGACACGGCCCCCCCTCGCCCCCTGGGCTCTGGCTCGCGTGGGTTTTGCCAGGAGCAGGAGGATGCGGCGCCGACTGCCCCTGGAGGCTGCTCTCCGGGCAGCTTCTCTGCTTCCGACGTGGCGCGGACGAGCGTTTTGGTGCATTGTCTGCCTGGGCTGTGGACTGCACCATTGTCCCTGTGCGTTCCTGTGCGGCCAGTCGCTGCAGCCCCTGTGCCTCAGGCCCTTGTTTGCTGCTGAGGCTTGTGTTAGCTCTGAGCTGGTGTAGCTGAAGCAAAAATGGTGGGCTGTCCTTAGTGGATGCGCTTGGGCATAAATATTCTTTATTTAAAAACAACATGCAGATGTCAGCAGCAGTGCTCAGCCCAACTCTTTTGTCTGTCCCACGTGCTGGGGCAAGGGTGAAATGCACCTCAGCAGAACAGGGGGCGAGGACCTTTGGCGACGGACCTCTGTGCCTGGCGTTGCAGTGGTGGTTTTCAGCTGCTTCAAAGGGGAGTCTTGTAAGGAGGTTTTCCAGCAGAGCTGGGACCTCCCCTGACCAGTGTCCCTGTCCTGCCCTGCTCCAGACACCCCACGGGGAGTGCTCCCTTTAGGAGTGATTGAGGAGTGGGATTTCTTCCAGACCGCTCCAGCACAGAGCACTGATTTCCAAGCTCTTTGCACCTTCACCACTGTAGGTGGTTTCTCTTCTTCCATGCTTAACTGTGCAAGAGTCAGGGTGAGCTGCTGAGTTGTACACATCTTAACTGCAGCTGTTTCAGAACTGTGTCGAAATCCATGTTTTAGTCTGAGAGAAGATTGCGCGTTTCCTTCCTCCTTGTGTCAGGCCACAATTGATGTATTTGCAGACTGCACAACAACTGATTCATGCAGAGGAAAGTTATGTGCTGGGTCAGCAAAGCTCGTTCCCCAAAAAACCCACAGGCTTGCGATGATTGACTGGTCCTGGGGTAAATCAGATGCTCCATGGGTTAAGGGAGGGAGAACCTCTGGCAGGAGCTCCTGTGGACGGCCATTGAGTTGATGACCCACTTGTGTCAAGGAGCTCTTTGAGCAGGACAAGATGCTCGCAGACCCCTTGAGCACAGGATGAAATTGGAATTAGGGAGGGGGAAGGTTGTTGCTGAGAGTGCCTGCGGAGACTTGTAAGGGTTGACAGGGCCAAGAACTTCTTGGCTGGAGGCTAGATGCTTCTGCTGCCTCTCGGGACAGTTGCTCTCCCCAGATGTGCCCTGGGAGTGCCGACAGGTCTCAGCCCCGTGTCGGGGGTGTCTGGCCTGGAAGGGACATGTGGGAGCCTTCTCCTCCAGCCAGCTGGCCCCAGCTGTGGCTCCTGAGGGCCTGTTGGCTCCAGAAGCTTCTTCCACTGGTGGCCATGAGAAGGAAAAGGGAAAATCCAAGCACAGTGTGACATAGACTGTTTTGGGGCAGGGACTTCAGCAAGAGCTTGATCAGGATCGCTCTGTTCATGTTGAGCGTGAAACCAGGAAACATCTGTGCAGGGTGGGTTTCGGAGTTTGCTGAAGTTGCCAGCCCGCCCTTGTTGAGCAACGTGCCACTTGCGCGCTGATGAACTTCTTGGTGCTCCCTCTTCCCGCTGTCCTCCCTCCGTCTGCCCTCTCACCACAGGGAAAACAATGGTCAAAGCCCACTTCAACCAGCGCTGCTCCTGGCCAGTGCCTCTGAGAGGGGCTGGCTGGCGTGGGCTGCGGCTCGCCGGCCTGGCGAGGTTGGTTAGCTTCTTCCAGGAAGAGCCTTTAAAGTTGACATTCCCTGTTCTCTGTCCCCACAAGCTCGTTTTCAAACACTAGCAAATAAATAAATCTTGGGAAATTAGTTTTGCATGTTGCAGTTTCTTGCAACGCCCAGCTGTGATTGAGCAAGGAGGAAGGCTTGACTCTGGGCTGGGAGTTGGTGGGGAGGATGCACTCACTGGCCAGCCCTGCTCCGCTGCTGGGAGCCGCAGGCAGGAGTGGGGTCGTCGCTGCCTCCCGTCGTCTTCCTTCCATGAAAGTTGTTCACAGGAGCCCTCCTGCACCCAGGGACAGCTGGTGCCCCTGAACTGAGTCCTTGTGTGCATCTTGCCAGTCATGGGTGGCTGTGGCACACCTTCCCCGGGCACCCGCTCTTCTGCTGGGGGGACATGTGGCACCTGGGAGGAGCGGCCGGCTGCATCCCTCACTCCTCCCCACTCCCAAAGCCAAGAGGGGAGGGAGAGCTCTCTGCTGGCTAACACGAGGGGTTAAAAATAGACATTTGCTAAATTAGCTTCCACTGAAAGTTCAAGAGGAAATCCAGGTTTAGCTGAGGCTACAAGAAAGAGCTGAAAATAATAATACTAATAATACAAACTGATTCCTGTGAAGGAGAGGGGAGGATGGCGAGCAAGGAGAGAAGGAGCAAGCTGAAAAACAAAAGCCTTTGAGGAGGGTAATGCTTTCCAGCTGCAAAAATACAGCCTGGGAGAAGAGCAAGTGCTTGCGTCACCCCCAGCTCCCTGGCCCAGTGCTGCCCTGCTCGGAGCTGGGGCCCGGCCGGGAGACCCCTGGGAGGACCGGGACCCTCTCCTCTGATGGGGAGAGGCAACTGTTGCAGAAACGGCTTGAGGGAAGCTGCGGGGCCCAGGAAGTGAGCGGTTGGAAACCTATAGCTTGTTTTGGCCATTTTCCCTTCTGATTCCCATGTAGCCTTTGAGTGCTGTGCCGGTGAACTTTCCTCCCTGTCGGACCGGCTGGACGCGGCTGCGGCTCAGTAAGATGCAGCCGGTGAGGTGGCAGCAGCCCCCTGGCGCCAGGGGCTTTGGGGCAGAGCAATGGGAAAGGAGGGCCGAGGTGTGGGCGAGCTCTGGTGATGGGGCAGCGATGGCTGGGCACCCTCCAGGAGGAAGGCAGCGAGGAAAAGCAAAAGCCTGCGTCTGGGGGGGAGGTCCGTGCCGTCCCGCTGGGTGCTCCCCATCCACCTCTGCTTGGATTGCTCCCCTGGTCCTGTGACTCTGACTCAGCCACGCAGGCACCAGCCAAGACCTGCTTTTTTGGGGAATTCTTGCACATCCCTTTGCTGAAGCGTTTCTCGCACAGGCAGAGCTGCATGCACGTGCCTGGCTCTGCCACCCCCTCCCCTTGTCAGGGGGGCGGATCGGGGCTGGGGGGTGCAGCAGGGAAGGAGGGTGGACGCTGGTCCAGGCGGCGTGACTCGGGCAGCCCCATCTCTCAGCCCAGTCTCAGGGGCAGAGTGGGGCCCTTGCCTGCCCCACGCCACCCACCATCTCTCCCGTGCACCTTTTAAGGTGGTTTTTGCTCAGCATGAAAACCTCTGTCGCCAGCAGGCACCTAGGAGCTGGGTTGGGGGTGCAGGGGCCCTGGCTGGACCAGGAGCCCCAACCTTGTCCTGGCCCTGCTGCTGGCTCTGGCACATTGGGCCACGCAGCAGGAGCCCTGCATGGGCCTTCGGCTCAGCTGGTTTGATGCTAATTCCTTGTCTCTGGCTGTTTCCACTTGTTTTTATGAAATGCATCACGCTGGGTGGTGGCTGCGGCGCCACGGCCTTGCCCTTCCGGAGGGGAGGGCGGTTGGTCACCCGCCGCCCATCACCACCAGCAGGATGTCCCTGTCCCCAGGGCCACGGCCTTGACACAAAATGCTCAGTGGAGGCATCCGAGCGAGAGAGCTGGCCTGGATAACTTGGGGACTGGGGGTTCGGGTTTGTGCTCGGACAGGGCACCCCCAAACCACTGGGTGCTCGTCAGTTGGGTCTCGCCAAAATCTAGGCAACACTTCATGGTGCTACAGCAGGGAAGGGCTTGATATCATCAGGCTGAATCCTGCGAGCAGGGGGAGAGCAGGGCGTTGCAAAATGTCCTGGCTTGATTCATGTTTTCCCTCTCCCTCTGTGCTCCTGAGCTTCTGCACTGGTTAATAATTCAGCGGCGTCTGGCCCTGCTCCTCCGGGGCTGTCTGGGTCCCGATGTCCTCGGGGTGGTCGGGCTGTGTGGCTGCTGCTTCTCCCGTCCCTGCTCTGCCTTGCCTGTGCCGGCTGTGAAGCCGAGCCACGGTGCTGGCACTGCGGTGCTGCTGGGTCGGTGTGGGGGAGGTGCGGGGTCTTGGGGGGGCACTAACCAAAAGGACAGGCCTCCAAAGCACTTGGCATCTCCCAGAGCCTCTGGGAGCTGCAGCCTCTCACACCGGCCTTTGGCCTGGGGCTGGTGGGTAGGTGGGGGGAGCTGAGCAGCGCCTTGACCTGGTTGCAAGGAAGGAATTCGGGTGCATTGGGTTTGTCCGATTTAACAGGCTTTCACCGGTTTAATTAAGTACTTAAACGCTGCGTGCCAGATGCCAACTCTCACCTGCTTCAGGGCCTGGGGCGTCCCTGTGGCTCTGGGTTAGCGCTGCCCACTCTGCCTGGGCTGCCTCGCCCCAGTGGGGCTCGGCCGCAGTCCCCGGCTGCTGCCGTCCCTCCCTGCGCTGCCACGAGCCTGGGCTTGGCAGACATTGGCCGTCCAGGTGCTGCGGTTTGAGCCTCTTCCCCTTCTGCGCTACTTGGCTCTCCAGGAGCCGGCTTTGCCTCCTCCCTCCTGCAGCACCCACCTTGCAGAGCCTTCCCCCTGCTCGGACTGGTGTTCCCGTGGGAAGCTTTCCCGGCTGCGTGTGATGTCTCTGATGGCGCTGCCGCTTGCAGCTGGCGTGCGTGGGGGGGAGC